ACCTAATATTTTATATCCCTAGATAAAATAGATCATATGATATGCCATTACTTACCAAATGCATCTGATAAAATTATTTTATGGAAAATGGACAATAAGCTAATTATATTCATTTGAAGATAAAAAGTCATCATGTCTAATAAACCGTCCTATAACATTTATGATCCTTAAGGAAAGTACTGATGAATATCAAGACTACAGCCTTCAGTATGGACTATACCTCAACATAAAGAAAACAAAAATCCTCACAACTGGACCATAAAAAACATCATGATGAATGGCGAAAAGACTGAAGTGGTCTAGGATTTCTTACTTCAATCCACAATCAGTGCCCATGGAAGTAGCAGTGAAGAAATCAAAGGACGTATTGCATTGGGCAAATCTGCTGCAAAAGACCTCTTTAAAGTGTTAAAAAGCAAAGATGTCTCTTTAAGGACTAAGGTGTGCCTGACTCAAGCCATGGTATTTTCAAGCACCTCATATACATGCAAAAACTGGACAATGAATAAGGAACACTGAAGAACTGACACCTTGGACTTGTAGTGTTGGTGAAGAATTTTGAATATACCATGAACTGCCAGAAGAATAAACAAAGCTGTCTTGGAAGAAGTACAGCCAGAATGTTCTTTAAAAGGGAGGATGATGAGACTCTGTCTTACATACTTTGGACATGTTATCAGAAGGGACCAGTCCCGGGAGAAGGGCATCATGCTTGGTAAATTAGAGGATCAGTGATAAAGAAGAAGACCCTTAAAAAGATGGATTGACAGAGTGGCTGCAACAATGGGCTCAAACATAGCAACAATTGTGAGGATGGTGCAGGACTGGGCAGTGTTTCGTTCTGTTGTACGTGGGGTCACTATGAGTCGGAACCAACTCGAAGGCACCTCACAACAACAAGGAAAGTATCAGTAATAACCAATAAATTTTTATTACCTTTAGTGGTTTTGATACTGAAAAACAAAACAAAAAACTTTATAATCTTCACAAACTAACCTTGTAGACCCATGCCCACATAAAGTTTATTTTCAAATAGTGAACAATAAGTGATAGAAAATCACAAATTGTGTCAGGAGTGTTGATCTATTTTGACACAATGTGGGCGTTCCAGATGCCTTATAGAAGATAAAACATTTTTCCTTGATATTTGCACAGAATCTTTACATTTTACTGTCACATAACCACATCTATGTTTTTGTTATTTCTTCTTTTTTTCCCTTATTTTAGAAACTAACAGGGAATTAAAGATACAGAATTTTGAAAGAAACTAAAAATTTACCTATTCCTAAATTATATTTTCCAAGATACTTTGCTTTCATATACCTAGCACTTATTAAGTGTATCTACTTTTAAATAGAAAAAAATGTCATCACCATAAAAAGTATTATAATATCCTGCAAACATCACAGAGGGTCAGAATTGTGAAATTAAAAAAAAATTAATACCCTGAATTTAGAATATTTAAAATCACAACAGTATGAAGTCCCTGCATTTTTATCATACATGTACTTTGGTGTATGTCTAGATATGCATGTATATGGAACTTTTACAAAGTTACTTTATGAAAAGCTATATTATCATTATAATATAATGTATTATATAACTAGCATGGCTCTTTGTGATCAAGTATTTTATATTTCTATCCTTATGCTGCTAATATTGAAAATATGGTCAATGGAACTGTTAAAAACAAAATTGTAAAGGTTGAATTAAAACACTACCTATTTTCACTTTCCCCTTGACTTATCAAGAGAGCTGCATGGTGTAAAACCCCCAAGGTAACCAGGAGGTGATTCTCTCTGGGGCAGGTGTGTGAGGTACGGAGTTTGAAGAACCACTGTCGAGTAGCAAATGAACTCCTTCCTGTGCTTGTGGGCAGTAGCAGTGATGAAGGTGCATTCTGTTCACAAAAACTCCTGAGGCTTCACCACGAGTGAAGTCCTCAGGACTGGTGTACCTCACACTAACGTGCATACAGGTCCCCTGGGGATCTTGTTAAAATGCAGATTCTGCTTCCGTAGGCATAGGGAGAAGCCTTAGGTGCCTGCCGCTACTGCAGCTGCTGGTCCATGGTCAATACTTTGATTCTTTGTCCTCGGGATGGAAGCTGTTGTCATGGCTTCCTTTTGCTCTTTATAAAATTCCTAATGAAGATCTAGAATCTTCTCTGAGAAACAACCAGGCTAGGCATGTATCAATCAGAATCTCTCTCTTTTTCTCCAGTTTTGTCACCATCATTCTATAATCTTTTTTTTTCAAAAAGATAGAAATTCTAGAGCCAGTCCTCAAGACTAACATACACTCTCTTATCAAAGTGCACATATACACCAAAAATCCGAAGTACACAAAACTGAACATGAATTCCCAAACTTGTTTGATGGAAATAAAGCGATGAAGGTCAATGTTTTGGGGACAGCCAGCCAAACTCTTGTCACTGGACCACCAGACTTACCAGTCTTCCTTCTCTCCTGGTGCCATTTCAGATTATTCAAGGCCACAGACTCACTGAGAGGGGAGTTTTGCCCCTCGCCATTCTCACTAGCTCAGTGCCGAGCACCTACTGTGGCTTCCAAGCAATCAAAGTCTCCTTCCTTTCCCCACAAATAAAGCGGAAGCAAGTCTTTCCCAGGCTGGGCTTGTGAACAGAAAGCAAGAGCACCATTCTTTACCAGGAAACTGACCCACAAAGCTGACTGGATTCATTTAAAGAGACTGAGAGGCAGGTCAGCTAAGAAAACAAAGCGAACTCTCTCCTTAGTTACTTCGGATAGAACTCCACCAACCCAGAAAGAAAGCCTGTCCAAGGCAAAGGAAATAAAAAAAGGGGCATGTTAGGTGAGGTCTGGCGAAGCAATGTGCAGAGCACTGGACTCTCACAGGTGACTTCTTTGCACGCTCTGTTTGTCTATCTTTTCTTTCCCAGGGAATAACTAGTTCTATATTTAGTCTCTTTTCTCACTATCCCCATTTCCACACTGTAATGTTCTACTAAGGTGCAAGGTTTTAAAACCTCCATTTCTTTTGAGCCATAGACACCCTGAAGCACATACGAGCATGAGCAGATATTTATGTAGTGAGAGTGCATCTCATAGACATAAATGTTTATGCATAGACTATATGAAAATATAAGACTTTTTTTTCTTCTGAACTAACATTTAGATGCTTATCTAACTTTATGATAACTACAGCATAAGATAGAGATGATGCTGACTTAGAAATAACTTATAAAGTTCATAGGCAAAAAAAAAACCCCTATAGATCCAGGTTATTCACTTTTACTATATTCAATCTTATAATTAGTAAAAAAAAACAACCTTTATGGATAGCATTTAACCTAGTAAACGGTTAATAATTTTAGGGACCATGAATGTTAGCAGTTGAGATGGCATCCTTGAGTGTTTGCAAAACATTTTCTGGTCATGTCCAAGTCCCTTTGCAAACAGATAAATTACTCTATAAATCTTATTATTCCATGGATAAATCACGCATGCAGGTTTACAGGGCTGGAGAGCTGGAAGGGAAAACCTACTTTGAATGGTAGGATCTTCGTGATTCATAATCACCCAGTACTCAGAAAATGAAGAAAGGAGTACTTACACATCAGGGTTTCCTTACTTTTTATAATTTGAAGCAGCACACACACACATGCATGTACACACACACACACACACACACACACACAACCACTACATACTCACTTTCCTCCTTAACAAGGCTAGAGATCCCAAAGCAGGACTCTATGACAGCCAACCAAATTTATTTCTGAGAAAAAGAAAGAAAACTTTGCTGCTGTCAGCAGCTCTGCTACAAAACTGCTCCCTGATGCCCCAGGGTTTATGCACTATCAGCTCCTCTCACACAGATTAGAGGTGTATTTTCTATCGGATACTGTTCTTTATTGCCACAACAAGCAATATTAGCTAAGATAGACAGACCGACACCAGGCCATTTAATTTGGATGAAATGAGATTTTAAAGGATCTGCAAGGACAATGTTTTCTTTCTTTTTTTCCTTTTTTTCCCCTGAGTATCTGACAGAAATTCAGGGAAAGCCAGGGAGAAGACGACGGGTATGTGCAGTGTGCGGAGAGGGGAAGAGAGACAAGAAACACAGGAAAAGCAGCTCGATTTTTAGCAACAGAATTTTGACCCGGTTCCACTCGAGTCTCTCTAGGTCACTGTCCCTTATAAGGGTCAAACTCCCAAGGACTTGGGACTCTTCCTTTCCAAATTTCAGCTCCAAACTGTATTTCAGAGTTTGGCAGAGCTACACAGAGGTAAGCTTTTGAGGTCAATAATCAATTAGAAATATACATTTTATGCCAGGCTAATTCTTTCCCAACCTCTGGGTTTAACACTCCTCTTCTTAAGTACCAGCAATCTGGCAATTTCCTTCATTTAGTTATTTCTCTTCATTCTTGTGCTGATTTCTATCCACATTCCAGTAAAGATTCAGTAACCAACCAAAGTTCTAATATTGATTTATTGCCCTCCATGTCAATTAGAAGATCTTCATTGAAAGTCTTCTACCTGAACTACTGCGAGGGCACACGCGCACACACACACACACATACACACACACACACACACACACACACACACACTTGTACCAGGAGAGGAGCAGGGAGAATGCCGTACAGTGTACCGGTCTTCAGAGCCATGATCCAACAACTCTTCTTTCTGATCTAAGGAAGCCCAACAAAACTCCAAAGTGCAAGGCATCAGCAATTACAAAAGCAAGAACACAGCCCAAATGTCGCTAACACCCTAGATGAAGTTAACCTGGCATGGCAATAAAAACAAGATCCTATGGACCAACATTTAACCAGCGTAACTGGTCCTTGACAGGGACCAGAATTCTCGTGAATTTTGTTGATACTAGAACATACACACACACACACACACACATGCACACACGCTCCTGCATCATCGGAAACTGCAGATCTAGGAGATCAGGCACACACACATGCGCGCAGCGGAAAAGTTGCCAGAAAGCCCTACCTGAGGATGGCGGTGTCCCCCTGCCTCACGGTGATGTTGTCCGTGCCTCGGTTAAAATCCACGCTGCGAACAGGCAGTCCTGTGGGAAGAAGGCAGAGCAACCTCAGTAGGACCAGCGGCAACTGTTTGCGATCAGGCTGAACTTTGGCGACCATGGTGGCCAGGCCGAGTTGCGGTCCGCAGGCGGGTGGACTGTGGCGGCGTGTGCGCGCGTGCTGCTCGCCGCGAAGAGGGCTTTACGAGCGCGGGGCTTTCATCCGCGCAAAGGCAGAAGGGGCTTTTCCAGTTTGTGAGCCTTTTCACTTTGCTCCTCTCTTTCACCAGCTCAGTGTCTTTCCCTCTAAGATTTCACAGAGCCTTCATAAAGCCCAAACAGGGCGAAAGAAAGTCAAAGGAACGCAATATAAAAACAAACAGTGCAAATATAAAACCCTCTAGGAAAGAAGAAGACAAGGCTACAAAAGAGAAGATGTTCTTCTCTGGTCTGTCTGTGGCTGGATGCTCCTTTGCCAGTAAGGGGATGCCCAGGGTCTGCGCTGAGCTTCTTCCCTCTGTAACCCACTTTCCCGGGCGGGCAGGCGGGCAGGCGGGCGAGCGAGGGAACCGGCACCAAGCCTGCCAGCGAGTGTGAAGAAACAGCCACACAGCAGCAGCAGCGGCAGCAGCAGCCCAGAGTCTCTCTCCCCCTCCTCCCTTTCCTGTTTCTCTCTCCAGTCCCTCCCTCTCTGTGCTCAGCACCTCCCTCCTCCCCACTGTTTTTCAACAGCCCCTCCACGTCATCCCCTTCTCCCTCCCCTCCAAGTGGCCCCTGGCTTTGCACAAGTGCCCCCTTCAGCAGCAGCCAGCCTCAGTGAAAGGCTGATGTGCCTTTAGGTTGTCAGGACAACAGCTCCATCTGAGGCCTGGCTGATTTCCTTAAGAAGAGGGAATGGAGCTTAGAGATACTGTTAGGGGAGGAGAAGAGGGACGCCTACTATAAGAGCGCAGAAAAAGGAGTGCAGAAAAGGAGAAGGAAGAGTGAGGAAGGAAGGAAAGGCGATGGGAAGAAGGAACAGGAGAAGAGGATGCAAGTCTCGACAAACGGAGGCAGGGAAATAGAGATGGCTGGGGAAGCAGAGGAGGGCACTGAAAGATGGGATGAGGAATATAAAACAGAAAGGAAACTTGTCAGTGAAGTCCAAGAGTAAAAGCCACAGTTGATTTCAAAACTAAACATTCCTGGCAACTGGCGTTTCATACTCACATCTTGCTCATTCTTTCCTCTCTTCTGCACTTTCTTTTACAGCATTAAAAGGTTTACTTTCTCTCCCTCCTTTGTCTCCTCCCCCTTCTAGAACTCTTTATGAAAGATGGATTGGAGACAATGCTGGTATTGAGTGGTCTGGGGTGTGAATGCTTGGCTTGTCTTTTCCAAGGGCCAGCCTCACTAGCTGATCCCTGATCCCTACATCAACCTCACTCTCCAGGAAATGCTCATTCAGTCCCATACATGAGTAATGATATTAATGATGGCTGTTTACAGAGCACATTGCTGTTGCTACCCAAGTTTCTACTGGCACTTGCTTCTCAAAATGTTCATATGCAAGGAAGGCAATCTGAATATCAGAAAGTGTGTCATTTGCAGGGTGATGCTAAGCTTGCATCAGCTCCCAGCTAGTGGCAGTCAAAATAGCTGCCATTTGTCTCTTCTCCATGAGCCAAGCAAGTGAAGAAAGGCATGAGGACCTCACACTGTTAGTCATCCACAAGAGTCAAAACCGTTAGACTTATCCTTCGGTACTGACTCTGGGGAGGGAAGATGGGGCTGGGCTAACCAAGCACTTTTTTTTTAAGTTTTTTTAATAAAAAATATTTATTCGTATATTTAAGGCATTTACATGGTACAAAAATGAAATGGTACCAAATGCTATAGAGTGAATTGTAGTTACCATTCTAATCCCTGTCTTGGGGCAACTCATTTCTTTTAACTGGAGACAAAAAGTATTTTCACTTCCTTGTGCATCTTTCCCAAAATATTTCCTAGACATAGAGATAAATACACAATTATCATCACTACCTGCTTTATTTACGCAAATGGTTAGCCAAGTACAATTGCAAAAAACAGCAATATATTTAGAAATCTTTCTCAAGGCCCACAGAGTACAAGTCCTAAAAAGGTACTTATTGTGTTGACACATGCCTTGTCCCTCCTGAATATTCAAAGAATTTCCCTGCTGCATTGTATCCGTTTAATGGTAGATAAACTGGTACAGATTATGTGAGGAAGGGAAGGAAGACCCTTTTTTTAAGAAAAGATACTGAAGGACTGGAATCTGAATTGTTGAAAATTCAAGATAGGTAGAGTTCAAATAATTTCGTTTGTGCTGTGCATTAAAGTTATATAAATCAAATTATCTTATGTCGGGGCTTGTAAGCGGTCCCCAGCTAATTAGTCAATCAATAATGTTCCACCTCTAATTTGTAACTGCAGATTATTTAAAACTTGAAATCTATTCTGATACAGAAAAAATTGGTAATGGCAGGTGGTTAGTTGCACTACAAAACCCATAATCCTGTGGTCCCCAATATCAATAGAAAAATGAGCTTCAAGTGCCAAAGGAAGATTTAAAAATTACCGTATCTCTTTGCCAAGACTGCAGTGAAAAGAGCACTTCCCTCTCTCTCCCCAGGCTTGGCCATCCCTGCAAGGTTTCTTCTGAGTTTTAAGGGATGTAGTGTTGGCTTATTAGACAAAGACCTAGCCACAGCACCTTCAGTGGGTGGGTGGAGTTTCTCTAATGTCAGGAAGAAGAAAAAAAAAAAGACAGAGGGGACTGGGGCTACTGGAATTATCTATTTCCAATAACAGTACTTGGTGAATGGTATGACTCTCAGTGGGATCCAAGATACTCTGATGGGGAAGGGTAGAACACATCAAGAGTATGAGTATATGCGTATTCTTTTTCACATGAGTATTACCAGTGGCTTAGATTTTGCGTGAAGAAAGGAAGAGTTTTCTCCTGGGCAAGGAGGAAGTTTGGTGGGATGGTAGCACACTATTTGCAGATGTTTATATGTAGTTCTTAACTAATGCTGATATTAGTAATCTCATGCTACCAATGGAACTTGTCTGATACTGCTAGAAGAAAGCATAAAGTTTAACATACTGGGGTACAAAATAATTCACACCAAAGTAGTAAGAACAGGTTATTTGAGGTAAATCAATCAAATCTGAAGTTTGTCTCGAGAATCATTACTCTGAGAAAAGGATGTATTAAGTTAATCAGGATTGTAATCAAGATAGTCATGAAAATGCCTAGCCTACCTGAGAGGATAAAATCATAAGCACACATTCATATAGAAAAAAATTAAAAAGCATATAATGTGATTAAAGTCTTTTAATACTTTCATTAAGTAAAGTCCATTTCTTGGTACCTTTTGTTAAACTAAATTGACTGTGTGCAATGAAAGTAAAACACAGTAACAAAAGACTACATTAAAAATGCTCAGTTTGGACTATTAGATAATTCAGACTGGATTTAGGAATAACTTCCAAATCATGACTTTCTTTTTTACGTAAGCTAATTATTTAATATCACTTTTATTCAGGTAGCACTACAAGTACAACTTTAACCCAACCCTGGGTCCAGAGTGTCATTCTATAGTTGGTGAATATAAGAATGAAGGAAGCATTGAATGCCCAAGTCAATCATGTGGCTTATCTCACCATGTATGAAACACTATATGTATTTGTGGGTGCACTATGCACTTCCGCTTCAACGTTATGTTCTCTCAGAGTCTTTCCACCCTTTACTCCCTCAGGGACTCCTTCCAGTTTTCTCTTCCCCATGATCTCTCACTTTCTAATAAATTCAGCAGTCAATGTATCTTGGATAACTTACCTCATTCTGATGGTTATTCCCTAAATCTACCCCAATATTAACTCCTCTGCTTGCTTTCTTAAGAAAGGTAGAGGAAGAAACAAATAAATAAGTTACTGAAATGAATACAAGTTATTTTTCTATAAACTACTATATACATTCTTTCAAGAGGACTGGCAAAAATGAACATACTTTTGGGTTATTTGTGAGGCACAAGGCTGTCAGCCATGTGAAATAGCCATCATCAACCAGGTAAGATGATCTTAACTACTACTTTAAAATAACCGCCTTTCTAAGAGAGGCTTTTGAAAATTCTGGCACTCTCCAGGGAAAAATGCTGCAGGAAAAACAAAAACAAAATTTAAAAAAAAACCTTAGCTAACGTCTGAGCACCCTAAGAAGCATGAATGGTTTGTTCTTCCGTTTAGCTTTGTAAGGTAACAGGCTCATATGAAATCCAGATGCAGCCTGGAATGTACAACTAATTCAGCTACATTGCTTGCATTTTATGCTAAACATATCCATAATATTATTAATACGCCCCTCTACATTTCTCCAGTTGTAAGACCTTAACCATAATAACATCATACCTAGATTTTACTTTCATGAGTGGGATTAGCATTTCCATATAAACTGGGAGTGCAGAATTTTTAATACTTCTCCTTTAGACTCCTTCTCTGACATTTTCAATGATTTCATAATAATTTAATAATATTAAAGTATCCCAATTTATGCTCATAAACATGGCACTATCTCATGTGAGTTTATAATCTGGCTCCTTCCAATACAGTAACTTCATTCACATGTGTCTCACTGCCTAACAAAAGCAATCAGCTTCAACTCAGTAAAGTATTCTCCAAATCCTAGCTATAGAACCCAAAGTAATGTAAAACTCTCAATCCAAATCCTACATAATTAAAAGCACTGTTTCATGGTTTGCTATTACTGCACGTCTTTGTGGTTCATTGCTATCACATCAGCCTTCTGCTTCAAACTAAGTCTCCATTGCTCCACTCATTCTATTTTAATAAGCATCAATACCTAGATCTGTCTCAGTTTTTGCAGATCTTTGTGATTCTTGAGCTACTACTTGGGTCTTCACTCCTTGTTTCTACTACTACTTACCCATAAACATAAATGTACTTGCACTCGATACATTTGCACATCAGCAAACTTACTCTCTCATATATGTGCCTTATTATTTCACAGACATGCACTCACTAGCTCTTGGACCATCCTCATTTCCAGGTTGTCTGTTCTACCATCATAAATGTAGAGTGGGCAATGGCCAAGAAATGCACTATCTTCATTTCTGCTTTTCTTTTTTAATCTGTCCCGACATATGGGAAGAGCATTGCGACACCTGGAAAGATGGTGGTAGCAGCATTTTCATACTAAAAAAATAAAAATAAACTCGTTGCCATCAAGTCAATTTCCACTCACAGTGACCCTATAGGACAGAGATGAACTGCCCTATAGGGTTTCCAAGGAGCAGCTAGTGGATTTGAACTGCCAATCTTTTGGTTAGCAGCCTGAGCTCTTAACCATTGCACCACTAGGGCTCTGAGATGTGCACCAGGAACCAAAAAAGGGAAAATAAACTTGGAGTGTACTTTGTGTGTGTATGTTGGAGGTAGAGTAGTTGGAAATTGAGGAGGGGTCATAATGAAGAGTTTCCAGGTAAGGAATTTAGAGTTTATTCTAGTGACTTGAATGGTCAATGCAAGATTTTAGAAAAGATTGACATTTTAGACAGATTTCTCTGGATATCATATGGAGAATGGATTAATAAAGGACAACAGTGGAAGGAGACAAATAGAAGGATA